ATAGAATGATCATGGCTGTGGATTCTGTAGGAGATGCCCTCAAGACTCCACAGCACAATGAGGTACATCAGGATCTTTATGGCTGTGTTATGGACTATCCTGGGTACTCATAGGAGGCACTCATGTTTGCCCTGGTTTACCTGCTAAAGAACAAGGCTGAGGGATTTTGCTTTGTTCAGATGACAGAGGCTCATAGGATCCTGTGGCTTAGGACCTATCTGAGCACAACTTACTTTGCGTAGATGCATACTAGCTGGCCTCTCCACTTTTGCATATAGCCATGCTAACTGTCTTATATTGTAGGAAGTATTTTGATGTGTAGCACTTACCTCAACTGATGCTACAAAGAACCATTTGTCGCCTAACCAAGGCTGCACCTAGTCTAGAATAGCATAGGAGCCATGGTGATGGATGTGAGGCTTTGTTGATCTGTGTGGTGTAGACATTAACAAAGGGTGATGGATTGTCACTTAGTTGATCTGAGCCCTAAAATACCTTGGATTGTCAGTTGATCCGAGACATTTCAGATGCTGTTATTGTTCTTGTAGGAGTTCCTTTTTGGCCAATGATGCAAACTATAGCAATCTGAGGTGGCTGTGGGTATTCTTCCCGTTGTTGCTTTATTGTCTTCTTGTGTTTTCTCATGTCTTTCATCAAACCGTGGGATACGTCCATTCCCAAGCAACTGTTGTAGGCATGCCTACCGGGTGGCTGGGATGGACGTGTCCCACGCTTCCATGGGAGTCATGAACTTGCCTTAGTAATTTGTGTTCTTATTTGCCACCTGGGATGATTGCAGTTTTTGACTGAGGCTGATACAATTATGAGATCTTTTTCATGCCTCTGAAGATAACAGTGCCAGTTTGAGTAATGGATTATGCACATTGTTGGCCTTGGACTTGTGAGGTACTGGAGCATTGTTTCTTCTATCTTTTGCTTATGCTTCTCATGGCTGTAATCAAACCATGTGAGGCATCCATGCCCAAGCAACAGCTGGACAATTCTGATGATCTGATGGCTGGGCTGGATGCCTCTCATGGTTTCATTCCTGTCATGATCTTGGTTTTTCTACAATCTGTTTGAGGTTTGCTGCTGTCTATGTTTCTTAAGCTCCAAGTTCAAGGTCAAATGAAAAGGCAATTAAATCTGAGGCAAATCGATTTAACTACCCTTCATTTTGTCAACATCTTATACTTGCTTTTATGTGTTTTTAAGGGGCAAATGGATTGGTATGTTGTGTATCGTGGAAGAGTACCTGGGGTATATTCAACCTGGGCTAGATGCAATGCCCATGTAACTGGTTTTAAAAACAACAGCTACAAGAGCTTCCCTAACAAAGAAGAGACAGAAGCATCATACTTAGAGTTCATGGGTTGTGAAGATGATAAAGTTTTTGTCAATCCTCCACCAAAGGTGCTCGGCAACAAACCGGTGTTATTTGTTGTGGCTGTGGTGCAGTGTTTTCTGTTGCTGGTGCTCCTGTGGTTCGTTCTTGCTCGTTGCTACAACTGTCTGTGATGCTCAAAATGCCATGGCTTGGTAAGTTGCCTGTAGGGGAAAGTAGCCTGGGGTCTATGCTTGAGTTCGGTCGTTTATTTTGATGATGCTTGAGTTTTTCATTGCTAAGCATTGTTGTAGCTGCCTCTAATTGTTTCATATTGCCTGTGATGGTTTCAAAATACCATGAAAACGTGTGGAGACAATGACCTTGTGAGGAACTATGACTTTTGGGCAACCAATCACGGCCCTGTTCATGATTTGCTGGGAGTACTATTATCATGTTTATGTCATTAGAAACTCTAAGGTCATTGTCAATGCCAAGCTTGTTGAACTAAGGCAAAGTTATCTCTGTTTCCTTCTATTCTTCTTCATTTTGTAATAGCTGGTGGTAACCACACCAAACTCATACATGGGTACTCAGGCCTGGGCAATGCGGCCAACCAAACAAGAACTGGAATCACCAGTTCATTATACGAAAATGGTGCAAATGGGGAACCAAACACGACGCTGCTCATCCGGGTATCCTCAGTAGTCGGTTGCAACCAAACACACCCACTTGCATGCTTCCATCATGGTTGGAAGAGCCTCGCATAGGCCCTCCATCCCGGATCACCCATGCCCGAGCAACCAATCACGCCTATAAGCATTTGGAAAATATTACACTCGATGCAGACCATTGGATGCCAATCATAAACCATCTAGTAGTAGCCGTGGCGCACTCAAAAAACAGATGCATAACGGTTTCATCAACATTATCATGGCAAAGTGGACAGGAGTAGCCTTCTTCTAGGAATTTCCCTCTTCTTTCAAAGTAAAACTTTAGCTAGCTAAAAGTTTTCAAGCTAAATTTTATCTGGGGTGTTTGAATGCTCTAGCTAATAGACTCAACTAAATTTTAACTGACTTTAACTGGGTTGAAATAGAACACGTTGTATCTTGACACTCCTGTTATTTCAGTTTGCCCATTTGCTAGATGCTGCAGCCCACACACATTCAGCCACTCTGACAGCATTCCACGTAAATAAACGCAACTTAGCGCACGCCTACCTCATCGGCGACGCGATCCGCGAGGACATCGGTGACCAGGGTACGACCGATTCTGTTGAAATTATTCGGCTCGAGACCTCGAGTTGCACGCGCTGCACTTTGCACAGTGACACGCTTACTGTTGCGCCGCATGCAAATGCACTTGCAGCCGCGAACAGGGCTGACGAGCTTCTGACCTCCCACCCAGGCCTCGGGAGCTGCCGCGTCCGCGACCTCCCCTTCGGCGGCGTCGGCGCCAGCGGCGACATGCACCGTGTCATGAGCCTCCTCCTCAGCCGCCTGGCGCAGCGCCTGCCCCGCGCCGCCACCGCCGTCGTCTCAATGCCTTCCCGGGCCTCTTCCCGCAGGACGTGTCCGCGGCCCTCGCCGACGCGCTCCCCAACTCCCTCCCCATCGGCCCCTACCACCTCCTCCCGGGCGCCGCCGCGCCAGCCGACAACCCCACGGCTGCCTTGCCTGGCTCGCTCCAGCGCCCGCGCGGGCACCGTGGCGTACGTCAGCTTCGGCACGGTCGCGGCGCTGCCACCGGACGAGCTTCGTGAGCTGGCCTCCGGGCTCGAGGCCAGCGGCGCGCCCTTCCTGTGGTCGCTTCGGGAGGACGCGTGGGCGCTGCTCCCGCCGGGGTTCGTGGACCGCGCCAAGGCCAACGGCTCCGGGCTCCTGGTGCCATGGACGCCGCAGGCCGCGGTGCTGCGGCACCCGGCTGGGGGGCAGTCGTCGAGGGGATGTCCGGCGGCGTGCCCATGGCGTGCCGCCCCTTCTTCGGCGACCAGCAGATGAATGCGCGTGCTGTGGCGCGCATGTGGTGCCTCGGCACCGCGTTCGGCGACGACACGCCGATGACGAGCGGTGGCGTGGCGGAGGTGGTGACGTCGCTGCTGACAGGGGCTGAAGGGGCCCGGATGAGGGCTACGGCGCGGGACCTGCAGGCCAGGGTGGTCAAGGCGTTCGGGCCCGACGGCGGATCCTTGAACAACTTCCACAATTTTGTCGATGTTGTTTGTGCTCGTGTGTGATCCACAAAGATGACGCCGTAATGTCACCAGAGAAAGTTATACGAGGAGGTTGCAATGGAACATAGGAGATCACAAGTGATTCTCCTCGTCAGATGGAAAACTACTAGCTCGATTGTAACTGTTGGAATAAACGTGCTTGGCCTCATTGAGAACTCCAATTATTTCGGAATAAAATCTTATAAGGCAATGCCGCAGCTTGCACGCCGTGCTCCGATAACCACAACCTGTCGATACTAGAAACCGATTCTACCCATGTTGCAAATCACATCCGTATGAGGAAAACAATCCCTGAATTTTCAATTGGTTGATCGGCCGCTGAACGTGCGTTGGATATCGCACGTAAGCCAGATACGGCACCGTCGCACACAATTTCTTTCCAACTATTTCCAATAAGCCTCAAAGTCATCCATGTTTTGCCGGTGTATGATTGTGTGAAGATTTAGTCCCACCTTGCTAATTGAGATAGAGGATGATATGCTTAAATATAAAAGCTCTCTCTACTCCATGTGTGGAGGAAGATAAGGCAGTTTCACATGCGCGTCAGCTCGCCATGCAAAGACTTTCAATCAAGTATGGTGTTGAGACGAGAAGGACAACGAGACTGTTAGAATGCGCAAAGCCTTCTTTGCGATCCCGTACTGAAAAAGGACAACGAGACTTTCACACAAGTCATGGTGTTGTTCCTGTTTATGGTGTTTGGTTTAATTAGTATTATATTAGTATGTTAGAGAATTATACATGGTAGTCCATGCTTTAATCATGATTTAATTATTCATATTGTGAAATTATCTTTTTTTCAACAATAATTGGGCCATTGTTTAATTATTCATATTGTTTTGCAATGGAGGAAGATAAGGCTACGCAAATGAATAGAGACAAATGGCAATCAACAAAAATACAAAATGAGTCACTAACTACTGCAGAATATACTGGAAACGAAATTTACACGACTCAGACGAGGAGATAATAATATTATTAATCCTTTTTAAATTAATATTTTAAAATAATCTACTCTAAAAATGTTTAGAAAAAGTAGCAGTCAAATTGTAATATATGTCCAAAGTCATCTAAATGCCCTGTTCGTTTCTTTTATAATCCGTCTTTTTCAACTTGTTTTTTCAGCCGGAACAGTGTTTTTCGCTCACAACAAACCAACCGGAACATTGTTTCGGCTTGTTTTTTCAGCGAAGCGAACGGAGCCAAAATAGAGCATTCCCCATACAAGCAGCTGAAGATTTACGTACGGGTACGAACATCTCAAAAGACTATAAACCAAACTCAACAGGGCAATACGCATGATGAGGTTGACGAATACAGTTGAGTTCCATAATACCTTGGTGCATGACTGAAAAGCTAGCCGGAACAACAATATGCCAACACGCAACAAAAGTTGTATCCGTTGAGATGGGGGAGCCAGCAGGAGGGAGTGCCGGCCGCTCACGACTCACGAGAACACGAGAGGCCAGATCCACGGAGCTTCTCTTCCATGACGGCGTCCAGACGTCCGGCCATCTCTGGCGCCATGTGGTTGGCCCAATCTCCTGCTTCGCCCCTCCTGAAGTAGGAGTCATTAGCGAAGGTGCCTTCCAGCACCACTCCGACGGGAGACGCCGACGACGAGCCTGCTGGCCTGTTGACGTCGAGGTTTCTCATCTTCTCGAAGCTGCACAGCGTCACGATGTCCGTGACGACCCCAGCCGCCTCCTCATCCTCCGAGAACGGCTGCCCGATGAACTGGGCAAGCTTCCTGGTGCCGCCGGCTGGGTCGCGCAGCATGTGCTCGGACCTCAGGAACAGCACCGTCTCCGGGCTCGCCTTGCTGGCATTCCAGTACCCGAGGACATGGTCCAAGATGGGGCCGCTCAAACCGCTGCCGTCGCAGGCCGGCTCTAACACGTCGAGGAACGACAGGCTGGGTTGCATTCTCCTGCCGAAGTGACACATAGAAACCACCATGTCCTTGGGATCCCTGCATATGTAGACGATCTTGCAGCAGTCGGGGTTGGCGGCGATGGAGGCGGGCAGGAGCGCGTGGTGCATGTGCGTGGCCATGAGCCTCGGCGACGGCAGCGCATCCACCCGGCTCCCCCACCCCTCGGCGAACAGCTTCTCCATGAACGGCACGCAGTCGTGCGGGTTGAGGCGGAGGAGCGGGTGCGCCGCGTCGTGCGCCGGCGGGTGCGCGCCCCGCGCCATGGTGGCGAACGCCAGCGCCTTGAGCCACGTGGTGCCGCACTTGGGCGCGCTCGCGAGCACCACGTCGCCCCGGCGCGGCGCGAACAGCCCGCGCTGCACGGCCATTATCCCCGGCACCCACGGCGCCAGCAGCCCAGCACCCAGGTGCTCTGGTAGCAGCGCAGCCGCAGCTTCGGGTTGCTCGGGACCGCGGAGGCCAAGCTCTCGTACTCCTTCACTCGGGGATCATTCTTCTCGGCGTCCGCGTCGGCGTCGCCGGTGCCGGCGTTGTTGAATGGCAACGGCACTGGCCCGGTAACGTTAAGCACGATGGTGCTAGCCATGGTACGTACAGTACGTAGCAGGCTGCTGCTAAAGCGCTCCGCTAAGGAGAGCAGAATCGTGATATGGTTTCCCGCAGCGTATCAGCGTCTGGAATGGTCAGCGTGCTCTCTGCTGATTGTTGTGCGACTGATTAAAATAGCGCGAACGATCAGACATCTCCGTAACATTCTCTTTTAGAAAAAAAAAATAATTTCCGCATGATTCCTTTATTGGCTAGTCTCGTGTGCGCGCCGTTGTTTCAATTTTCACGCGGTCCAGCGCTTGCGGTGATGGTAGTCAAATAAAATATACTTTTGTAAGCTAGATGATATGCATGTAAAAGTTAGATTTATAAGTTAGATTAGTAAACTTACATGTACAAGTCTCATTGATAACTTATATAATAATAATTGGTTTGTATAACTTATAAGTTAGATTAACAAACTTATACTTTTAAGTCAACATTGATAACTTATATTACAATAACTTGTTCAAGTCAACATCGATCTTATATTATAATAACTTGTCTGTATAACTTAGATATATAACTTAATGAATGACTTAGATGTAAAGTTGGACGTATAAGTTATATTCAAAAAGATATATAAATTAATATAATAATATATTAGCAGAAATACAAAACTATGTATGAAAATAATCATGTGGTATAACTTATAAATATGTAAAAAAATGGTAGAAAGAAAAAAAGAAAAAAAGAAACATTCACAGGTGCAGCCATGTCATAGGACAAATCCGACCAACATGCACTAAAAACACCCGTGTGTATGGATATCTGCATGTCACGGAATGAGGGGAATATATTTGAGGATTGAGTAAAGGAAAGGACGGAAGTGAATGGCATGGAAAAGGGAAGGTACGAGTCTACGCAGTAGTGGTCTATCGTTCGCCGCGGTAGAATCGGGTGAACGACCGTTGAAATGGAATTGGGGTTTTGTTCGCCTCATCACGTAAAACACACTGGTGCAGATGGAATTAACTTATAACTTATGTCAAAACTTAGAAACACAAAAGTTAGATGAACAAAGTTATATGTATAAAGTCAGCATGGATAACTTATACGATAATAACTTGCTTGTATAACTTAAATATGTAACTTGATGAATGACTTAGATGTAAAGTTAAACGTATAAGTTATATTCAAGAACTTAGATGTACAAATTAATATCATAACATATTAGTAGAAATATAAAAACTGTGTACTTACGAAGTAACTTGTATAAAAATAAAAAAGAGAAGAGAAAAAAAAACAAAAAAAATTAAAACCATAATATGATATATTAATGCACGGCATGTCCTTGTACGTAAGTACTAGCTATAGGATGGCTCGCTCAAACGGCTCCGTCTCTTTGCGCCGACGGCCAATACTTCGCTGAATGCGTATAACTAATAAGGGAGGATTGACCCGTCTCTCACGTGACCCACTGATTGTTCGCTGAGTTGGAGACGCGCGAGCGACCGTGGTAATGGAATTGGGGTATTGGCGTGGTTGACTGGTTGCTGGATGGAGGAGACGGAGGGGTGCCAGTCGGAGTCGTCATAGCTTTCCTTTCCATGTTTGGCGACGAATTGCTAAGACTGCAGCTTTCATGACCGGCCTATTTCTGCTTTGCTCGCTCTCTTACTTGCAGCCCGATAACCTCTTTCCCTCATGCACTTTCGGTCTCGGTGCTTTCTTCCTCCACGTTCTTGTCAATTCACTCCACGGCCTAGCCAAGAGGCTTTTTTTTTTTTTAGAACCTCCTAAATTATAGGGCTCACATGTATCTGTTACTGTCCGACGACCTTTGACAACTATGCATATGTTCCTGATAACTTTAGAAGACTATCGGGTGTCCTCGGAGAACCCCGAATCATCCACGATTTCCGAGCAGGATCACATTGCAGTATTACAACATTTATTCAAATATCTACACCAGAGTAAAATCAGTGAAAGTCTTACAATAACATAGTTTACAAACCATTTATTTCAAACCATACAACTAAGTTCGATAAATAATACAAACAAAAGTAGTAGAGTGGCATTATAACATATTACAGAACACACAAATAAGTTGCCCTGCCTAAGGGCCACACATTTATCTATCGTCATCACATGGAACAACAGTCATACAGCACGATCCAAAACAGATCTGCTCATGAGCCTCACCTGCAACAAGGGTCAACGAACCCTGAGTACAAAAGTACTCAACAAGACTTAACCAAAATAAGAATTAATAGAACGCAGGAATGCAGACTCAGGGGATTCAAGATATGGCTTTAGCAATAATCAAAGTTCTTTTACGTAAAAGTTTTTTTAACAAAATTCTTATATCAACATTTAAAACTTCATAAGATCGTAGACAAAGCTGACACGATCCGTATTGAGATCATGAAACTTCATAACCAACACCTTCACAAACCATCCTCAAGTTCTAGTTATTTATCTACGATGATGAACAGAGAAGTGAGTCTCCATAACCGAGGAGCAATGATGATTCGAACCGATTAAAAACCCAGCTGGGAATTCCAGACCACACGACATATGTAGGTCCTCGACTTACATATATCAACCTACCATCGGATCCTCTAAAACAAGAACGGGTCCGCGCCACCCGAGAATACAGTACTCCACCAATCCAGCCCATTGCCACGTGGGTACACGCTATTCCCGCCATCTCTCCACTCCCAGTGCGCGAGTAGCCATTCTCGTAATAGAATAGCCAAGTTAAGGCTTACCGGAGTATGTGGTTAGTACTACAAAGTCTCATCGCACACAGTTCAACAACGGTACGGGCCTTAATCGACACAGGCGGAAAGAACCCGCTCACAAGACCTCCATGTCTTGTGGCTCACACACACCGAGTCCGTCCGGTCTAGATTTATTACTCCACATGCTCATATCACATGATAACATAAGTAACCAAAGTTCCATTTAAGACTTGCAGGTGACAGGTAATCATCTGACTTTCATCGTTCTAAGCATAGCTAAGCATAACTAGGCATATACGAATTAAAACTGATAATATGGTAGATATGAAAAAACAAGGTTGGTGATGCATCAATTAGGTTTTCACTTAACTCTTAATCACTTAATGCAGTAAAGAAAAGCAAAAGCAAAATCAATTTGTAAAACACAAGGTAGGTCTGGATGCATCCGGGGCTTGCCTTCGTTGACGGAAAAGTCCGGTTCAAGAGTCGCACCACAATTATCCAACCCGACCTCAACAGACGGATTAACCTCCTCAACCAGTTGATTAACTACCACGTGTTCACCTTTGTTCACTACACGTAGTAACAATGTCATGTTTAACATGATGCGAGATACAAAATATGATGCTCGATGATGGATGCAAAAGTTAATAACTTGAATACAACTTCCTTCGCGGTACAGTTACAAGTCAAACTAACTAAACCTTTTCATACACCTAATTCAATTGCCAAGGATCATTATCAACTAATGACCCAAGAACATCACTCAATCAAAAATTCAAACAAAACCTAAATCACTAAAGGTTACTATTTACTTTTATGAATTAATTAATTAATTAATTAAGAATTATAAAATAATCAACTTGTTCCAATTGACCTCAAAATTTTTGTAAATGTTTATCACATGATAACTAAGCGGCAAAACAATTTTCATAATTTTTGGATACATAAATCAGCCTAGAAAAATCATGGAAACTCATTTATTAATTAATTTAGCAATTTTTATCACATCCAAAAAGTACTAAAAACAACATTTCATATTTTTTCTAAATAGTATTCATCACAGAGAGGTCACACAAAAATTTTCATAATTTCTAGAGCTCTAAATAATTCTACAAAAAAATAACAAAAACAGACACTATTCATTCATTTCTGAAAAAGGAAAAATTCCATTTTGAACGCTGAGTCACTGACAGGGTGACCCCACATGTCATCTTCAACCTCCGCCTTTGACTCCGGCGACACGCGCGCTGACCGACGATAACTCGCCGATGGCGAGACCAACGGCGAAGACAAGGGCACCACGGTGATCACCACAACAAGGCGCAACGATTTGGGGCACAAGTTCAAGTAATTACGACAAGGTTCAAGCTTCACGCCGGCCATGGCGGATGCGGTGGCACGGCTGCGCTACGCCGGCGATAGGAGACCGATAGCGGTTAAATAAACGGCACAGGAAGGATCAGTAGTTCACCCCGAACGTGATGGAGCAAAGAACGAGGTCGGAGAAGCTACGGATACGCTGGTCGACGTTCACAGTGATCCTGGCGGCGCAAGTGACGGTGACGGCGATTTTCTGGTGACTGTGATGGACAAGACGAACAATCAACCGGTCATAGAGCATCACGAGAACAAGGCAGAGCTGGAGCTACGCTGAGCAGAAGCAAAAGCTCACCGGAGAGCTCTGGCCACGATGACACGCCCGCGACAGTGAGGTTGCCGGTCGCGAGGAAGAAAGGCGTGGACAGCGGGTTCTCGGTGGAGGCAAGCATCAAGGATGATTTGGCTAAGTGCGCAAGGAACCAGTGGAGCTGTGGCAAGCGTTACCGAGGATTGGAAGGCGCTATGGCGACGGCAAAAGCTCAACGGAGCTATGGCAACGGCGGCGGCGGTGAAAACAGAGGGGGAGAGAAGAACGACGACGACAGTGTCATGGCTTTTAAAGGACGGCCAGGAAGCCAGAGGAAGCCACGATGGAGCCTTTTCCTGCGCCAGTGTGACGCCACAGACGGCCACGACGCGCCAGGAACGCCGAAGAAGGTCGCCGGCCATGTAGCTTAGGCGGTGAACAGTGTTCACTAAAATTACAGAAT